ATATAGATGATCAAAAATTATTTTAACACACAAGAAAGGGGAAATAGATTTGTCCTTTCGAAAGATGATAGTTTGATAAGAACGATGAAATATCGAGAGAAACCTCTCTCTCTAGAAAACGGGAGAGAACCAAAAGAAAGGAATGATCTAAAGTTGTTAAAACGATTGTGTTGTGATGATAGTGGCATAGATTGGTAATTATTATGGAAAAATCAGGGTTATTTTTTATTTGTACTTCAATTTTAATATATTAGATTAAATTTAATTAAAACTAAAATATAATTATTATATTTAAAATTTTTAGTTATATATTTATAAAATGAAAAATATTTCCGCACGGATGTGCGGATCAAACTCTAGTAGCAATTACGATACCAATCAACTACCACAAGATTCTTTTTTGATTCAAATCTCTCTATTCATTAAAAACCTGTAATCATGTTATTACGATAAGTTTTAATAAAAGAATGAATTTTGGAATATAATCGAATAGCATATTCGCTTTTAATGCTTGAAGATCACAACTAACAAAATCTTTCATAATTAGATGGCATTTAACCTACCCTTTCCTAACTAGCTATATATATATATATACTCCCCCAAAAACATGAACACCATATCATTTTAAGCAGAACCTCCTAAAATGTCTACACTGACTACTTTTTCAAAGATATTTTCGCAACCTTTAACAGCCACATAGGTCATAAGATATGTATTTTTGTTTGTTTAGATGTCTTATACGGTTTATGTTTGGATGTGTTAAAAACTTTTTTATGCGTTTGTATTGTATATCCAGTAAAGAATGAAAACTGAAATGAACTTGATGTTTTGATCTTTGTAGATTTGAGTCGTTCACATGTTCTCTCTGGTGAAATATTTTTTACTGGTTCAGAAAGTTTTTATTTATTTACGCAAACAACATTTGCTTTTCTTTCAAACATTTATTTCAATAAGATTGTAATTCTTTTTTTTGGAGAAATGTATGAATTCTCTTTGGTAAAACCATATCAAATCAAAACTGGTCTTATTTATATAAGACTATCATTATCATAAACATTGTTATGCACCACTCAGGCAAGTAAAAACCGAACATCTAAACTTAAAGCATGGTTCTTCAATCTAATTACTTATTCTAGAATGTTCTACTTTCCTTTCACATTACGTATTAGTTACAATAGTTTAGATAATTACTAACCGTATTTTGTTGTCCCTACAATAGTTTAGATAATTACTTGGTTCTCGCCACGTCTAATATCATGCGATACATTTAAAAGGGTTAATATCATTATATGATGATTGTATAAAAAAAGATGACCGAATTGCTAAAACTTATGAGACAATCATATCAAACTAAGAACACACACATCTTACTTTGACTAACTGATTAGTGTGCCTTCCCTTTGCTCTGTGATTTTACAACTGACTCTCTCCGTCACCATATCTCTGCCTGAACTTTTGTATATATCACTTCCGCCCCCTGTCCTTATGTTTCTCCTTAAAGAGCGATTGGTTTATTACTAATACATGGTGCCTGAAAGGCAATTACGTCTTCAAAAATGTATGCTCAGAACAATAATATTTATAACTCGAGCATTTTAACAAACCTTTGACAATCAAATTAATCCAACTGCTCTAATTAACAATTGTCTATGATTTTAATATTTAATCAGAACTTTAACAATGAAGCCAATTTACCAACTCATTCCATCCTACTCTTGAGCTAGAGATTTTGATCTCGATTTCATCTTACATAAAGTAGCTTTAAAGATTAGAAGTAGCTTTACAAGCAATAAAGACCTGACATCAACATGAAATCCTGGAAATTGTTACGTTCAAAGGAAATTGTGTTATAATCGTTACCACACAACCGAAAACAAAGCAGAGAGTTACCTTGCAAAGTACAAGAGATTTATTCTTGATGATTAAACCGGAGACGGGCTCTGTCTATTTGATTGAAGGGTGTTTGAATTCCAAACCGTAGATGGTCTCTGAAAATCACAGAGCAAATACATATAGAATCAAAAACAAATCGTAAAAAATTATGAACACCAAAACTACAAACAAAAACCTGCATGCCAAAATCTGCAGTAGTAATCAATAGATCTGTCTTCTGTCATCCTTCTAATGAAAACTTCACAGCCGTTTAGTCAGAAAAATGGTCTGTACCGACAAAAAGATGATAGAGAAACAGTACTTTGAATAGGGAATATAAAAAAAGTAGTAGAACAATAGTTTTTTTTTTTTTTTTTTTTGAACAAGCAGTAGAACAATAGTTGTATCTGTTTTTTTTTTTCCGGGAAAAAATATATGGGCTAAATGTTTACGGTCCAACTATTTTCTTGGAAAGAATATGATGTACCAAATAATGATACAGTCTAAATAATGTATTTGTTTAAAAAAATTCTAGAAAATTATAAATTTGAAATATACTTTTAATCACAATTTTTATAATACCATTTAACAAACCACACACAACTATACTTAATACTCTAATATATCAAAGAATCATATATACTTGATCACTAGGTGTTGTGCCCGCCTTGCGGGCATAATCTTCTTACGGATATAACTCAACATAATAAACTATTATTTATGCTTTCTCACATATTAGAAATATTTGGAAAAAAATATCATTATACAAATTTAATTGATTAATTACATTTATATTTATTTTTGTAATAAAATAATATTATTTTCAGATAACAACACAATATCTATAAAACTTATCTTATTTTTGTAATATGTATTTATTTTGACAATTATCATATTAATGTTTAATCAAATTTTTAATTTTTGTAATAGAAAAATATTATTTCAAGATAACAACACCATATCTATAAGAATTATCTTATTTTTGTAATGCGTATTTATTTTGACAATTATCATATTAATGTTTAATCAAATTTTTAATTTTTGTAATAGAAAAATATTATTTCAAGATAACAACACCATATCTATAAGAATTATCTTATTTTTGTAATGCGTATTTATTTTGACAATTATCATATTGATTTATAATCATATTAGATTATATTGTATATTTAGATTATAATAATAATATTATTCGTTTTTAATTATATATAAAATTCATTAAGGTAAAATAGATATTAACCGCTCTAACTTTTAACGTGGAAACTCCATTGCGAAAAATCACTTCGCAAATAATAATAATATTTTTTTCAGATAACAACACAATATCTATAAAACTTATCTTATTTTTGTAATATGTATTTATTTGACAATTATCATATTAATTTATAATCAAATTTTTAATTTTTGTAATAGAAAAATCTTATTTCAAGATAACAACACCAAATCTATAAGAATTATCTTATTTTTGTAATGTGTATTTATTTTGACAATTATCATATTGATTTATAATCAATAATCTAATATAACATATAAATCTAATATTATTATTATAAATTCGTTTTTAATTATATATAAAATTCATTAAGGGTAAAATAGATATTAACCGCTCTAACTTTTAACGTGGAAGCTCCATTGCGAAAAATCACTTCGCAAATAATAGTATAGAT